AAAATAATATTTATGTAATACAAAAGAACTAGTAAGGCTAATTCTACAATGTGCTTTTTGTTTTTTGTTTGATGAGCCACTAAATTTTAACATAAATTAATATGCCCAAATAAGGAAATCTCGACTTTGTAAAAAAAAAAATTGTAGAAAAATGTTCCAAATATGAGTATGTTTGAAAATTAATAATTTTAAAAACTCATACACTTTTGTACCTGGCAACCAATTTCCCTGAGTAATGCAATAATTTATAAATAAGACTAACAAGTTTGAATAAGACAATTTTTTTCTTATTTTTCAATGTGCCTGCCATTTTGTAATACACTTTGTGTAATACAAATTTATATAATTTATATAATTCAAAATTATATAAAAAAGTAATGTTTTTAAAGCAGGAAATTAGCTGAAAAATTTGATTTTACATAGCAGAAATGAAACATTATTTAAAAAATTTTTTTGTTCATAACTCTTTTACGAATAACGTTCGACGGTTAAAATTTCCTCATGATCATTCAGGATCATGATCTTCACAACATATGTCAAGATATAAATCATTGAGAGGTTCCTCTAATCTACATATTTATTCAAATTTAATCTGCATATTGGTTACCAAGAGGAATGTTCAAACTTTAATTTAAACTTTTGTTCATTTCAGTGTAACGATTTTTCATTGAGATATCGCTACTCAAATATATCAAAAACTTGTGCTGACATTTAGTGATCTGCTTTTTTTTGTTAATGAGTATATATCATATTACAAAAATTTTTTATACAGTTTTTTATATTATCGGATTATGCGATTGTATCTTTTTTTAAATATTTACAGCATATTTTTTCCAGTACCGTAAATATCACAAAAGGTGATTTCTATGATACGATGAAACCTTGGTTGGGCAACGGACTTTTATTATCTACAGGTGAACGTACAATAAATCACATATTTATTTTTCTCATATATTTATTACGTATTTATTTTTTTCTCACATTTAGAATTCTATTGAAAATAAATTCCTGCTTATTTTGAAGCTGGATATGTATTCAAAATACTTTTATTTAAAAAAACAGTATTTGTAAAACAATTGTATTTCGACAAAGCGCATAAAAATATTTTGTATTTCGTATTTCACGAAACATACAAAAGTATTTTATATTTTGTATTCCCAGGACTAAAATTGACAATAATTAATCTTTTTATTTGAATTACAATATTAAAAAAATTTTTATCTTTCAATTTTAAGTATTAAATACGTAAAATTTTTTATGTGCTCTGTTGAGATACATACAAAATAAAAATTTAACAAAAATATAACACTTTTTAACAAAATGTATTAGCTTTTCGGGTTGTCAAAATAATTTTAAATCTTGTAAATTACACCAATAGAGAGAGAGAGAGAGAGAGAGAGAAGTAATGAAATTTGCACGTGGAAGTATTTCCTCGTGAATTTGTAAAAGTTTTTTTTTATTTTTTGCGATATTTTTATAACTTTATTTTTACATGTATATCACATTTTAATACTACTTTAGGTAAACAATGGTTCCATGATAGAAAACTCATCGGGCCGACGTTCCATTTTAGTATATTAGATCAATTTGCTGTGGTTGTATCTGAAAAAGCAGAGATTTTGACAAAATGTCTTCAAAAAGAGATAGAAAAGAATCCAGGAGAAGCCGTTAATACGTTTCCTTTTATTATCAATGCTGCTCTCGATATTATCTGCGGTAATGTACCATATTTTTAATTACAATATGTATACAATTATAATATTTTGCGAGAAAAAATGTGTTGTTTGTTGTATATTTTTTGCCGTACTAAATTTTATAAATTATTCTACGGATAGGAAGAAAAAAAAAAATATGTTAACTTAAATTGTATCATAGCACTATAGGCGACATGATATGATAAATACTTTGTCAATAATTTTAATTATTATCTTGCAGAAACAGCAATGGGTGTAAATATACATGCTCAAGAAGCCGTAACCAAATATACGTCAACAGTACATCTGTCAGTTTCCAAAATTTTTATAATGCTATTATACTGTTTAATGCTATTTCCAACACAAGTGCGAATAGTTACTTTCCATGCATTTTTGCTTGCCGAATATAAATCTGTGTATTAGACAAAATTATGTTACAATCTCAAGAACAATGGCATCTGTTTTCGCTAGATCAGCACAAAACAATTACTGTTTCGCACCGTAGTTTCGTGTAAGGATATTCAACTACTAAAGAAGTGTCACACAGAGTCAAGTTAATAAAGTTTATTGTAAAACAGTCAACGTAGGCGCGTTAAGCGTCTAAACTCACGCACGTTCAGATGATGCGCGTGTCGGATCACTGCATCGGAACGTGATTCCGTTTTCGCATGTAGATATCCGTGACTACGCCTGGGACAATACCTTGAGCTACCTAGTAGCACCGCCTCAGGTGATTGCCTTGAGCCACGCACTTTACACACGCACCGTACACTAATACTCAAAATCGTTCTCGAATTCGCTCGACGTTCACAGTACCGTGGTCGACTTCGGAATGAATGTACCGATCCCTCGTAATATCGGGAAGACTCGGGTTTCCGAAAAAACCCGAATTTGAACCTCGTTTTGGCGAGTTGAAAATTCTAAGAGTCGCGGAACCAAAAGAGGAACCGCGAGATCAAGGAAGCCGCGTATCGGCAATTGTTTGCAGTTGTCGCGGACTAGATGAAAGAGCGCCGCTAGCGTGCGATCTAACCGCAATGATCAAGGGTGCCGAAATCAGTCTTCGTATTTCCGTTCTTTTTGGCTTAACGCGACGCCGACATGGATGACTGAGTATGCGTGTGTGTGTACGTGTGCGTGTGCATGCTTTGTAAAATCATATATTATATCTGTTGAGCTCAACACGACAACCTCAAAATGACAAATTTATAAAAGTTTTTATAAAATTGTGAACAAACAATTATTTGTTAAAATTTTTTTAATGTAAAAAGATTAATTTTTAAAATTTCTCTTTTGCATTTTGTTTTGTTTTGATGTGTTTTTTATTTTTATGATATGATGATATAGTAATTTAGTAATAATTTTTTCTCACATATTATATAAGAAAAGCATTATAAATACATAAAAAGTCATTAAAACGAAATGCATTTTAAATTTGGAAATTTTAATGCTTATTTTGTGAATCATTAATGAATTTTTTGACAATGTCATAAAAACGTCAATAGTCACTTTTTATCTCTATAATACTATTTGTTCCAAATTGTGACATAATGATAATAATTGGCCTTGTTTAGAAAACAAAATACATAGAGAATGAGTATTCATACTCGTGTTGCAAAAAATGTTTTATCGGACAATGTTATTAATGAAATGGTGCTAATATAAGTTATTAGGTCCGTTCGCGTTGCTTGCACTTTTTGCACTTACCATCTTCGCTTTCTCTCTTTTTAACGCCGAATATATACCTATCTATCTCATTTTAAGTGCAAAATTATTTGGGGATTTCATGCAACGCGAACAGACATATCATTTACATGTCAAGAATTAATGTTAAGTTGTAATAATTAATTATATATGTAGTTTATTTACGACAATTGACAATCGTACTTTTAGAACTTCTTCATTAATAATGGATCGATTATTTCAACCGTGGTATTGGTTTGATTGGTTGTTCTACTCATTGCCTGCAGGGAAACAATTTAAATCAGCGCTTGATATATTGCATGGATTTACAAAAGAGGTATAAACATGCTAAAAACGTCTTTGTATTTATATTTAAGAACTTTAAGCAATGTTAAAGTTTTACTACATTTTTTACATTATTTTATTTGAGGAATGTTCATGTTAATATCTAAAACGATAAATTCTATATATGTAGGTAATAAATAAGAGGAAGATTGAACGACAATCGCAAAACGACTATACAGATCTCGAAAATGAAGACAATGAATTTAACATAGGTACTGTAAATATTTAACCTAGGTATTATAAATTTTAATTGTATATTGTACATATTTTACAAATTACACATAATTGATCTACTTTCTAAATATTCTTTATTTAATAAAATTTATTATATTAGATAAACGGAAGAGAAAGGCATTCTTAGATCTATTATTAGATCAGAATGAGAAAGATGACACCCCTTTGACCGATGATGAGTTGAGAGCACAAGTCGACACGTTCATGTTTGAGGTGAAACGTCCAAAATTAAAATTAAAATTTTCCAACTTTTTTTAACATTAAATTTTCTCTTTATTTAATTAAATTAGCAAAATAATATATCTACTAAAAGGACGTATGAAATAATATAAAAATGTTAATAGGGGCACGATACAACTGCGGTTGCGA